TGGGAGGGTGGAGGGATGGCGCAGGACAGGAAGGCCCTCTATGAGGTGGATTGATTCAGTGACTGGGATAATTGGGATGGGAGTGTCAGAGACAGTGCAATTGGCACAGGTCAGAGCGGAGTTTAGGGCTGTTGTACATAGGGTCGCTATGAGTCGCAGGCGACTCGACGGCACATAACAACAACAACAAAGTATTTCCTTGTTCTGCTGGCACAACAGCCTCTTGGTCTAGGTATAGGTTTCACGTAAGTACAAATAAATGTTATGAGATTTCCATTCTTCTCATTTTCAGCCACAGTTTGTTATGATTCACAAAGTCAAAATGCCTTTGCAAAGTCAATGAAGCACAGACACTCCACTGATATTCTTTGCTTTCAGCCAAGATCCATCTGACATCAGCAATGATATCCCTGATGCAATGGCCTCGTCTAAAGCCATCTTGAACTTCTGGCAGTTCCCTAATTATGCACTGCTCTAGCCATTTTTAAATGATCTCCAGCAGTATTTTGCTTGCACGGGGTATTAATGGCATTGTTCGATAATTTCCACATTCTGCCAGATCACCTTTCCTGGAACAGGAACAAATATGGATCTCTTCCACTTAGTTGGTCAGGCAGTTGGTCTCCAAACTTCCTGGCACATACTGATGAGCATGTCAAAGCTGCATCTGCCCTATAAACATGTCAATTGGTATCCCATCAATTTCTGAGGCTTTATTTTTTTTTCCAATGTCTTCAGTGCAGCCTGAACTTCACCCCTCATTATGACTGGTTCTTGATCATATGGTACTTCCTGAAATATTTTAGTATCAGTAAATTCTTTTTGGTACCATGAATCTGTGTATTCCCTCCATCTTCTTTTGATACTGCCTGGATCATTTAAAATTTTGCCCAGAGCATCTCTAAGTAACTACTTACTAGTAGTATATTTGAATATTCAAGAACTTAAGTAGCTGTAAATGTCATTAAGTCTGATCTTTTCACATAGACCAAAATGTCTGCCTCACTTAAGATCTTGTCATCTTTCTTCAAATAAACATTTCCTATCTAGGAAATATTATCCTCACTATGACCTATATTGTTCTTGTTGCTGTGTGTCGTGAAGTTGGAACCAAGTCATAACTTCGAGTAGGTTTTCAGAGGCAATTAACCACACAAGAGACTTCCCGTTCTCCCACAGAGAAGCTGGTGGACTGGAACCACAAGCTTTCAGGACTGCAGCACAGCTGCTTACCACTAGGCCACCAGAGCTCTTAAGCTGTTGCTGTTAGGTCAGTACTAACTTATACCTAACTCTCCACTGGGATTCAAACTGCATGTCTTTGGATTGGTAGCACAATTCCTTACCAGTAGGCCACTAGAACTTCTATAATAACTATATGTTGTTGTTGACTGCTGTCAAGTTGGGTACGAATCATAGCAACCCCACGAACAAAAGGTCTGAAGCCCTTCCACAACAATTGCCATTTATCAAAGTTCACAAAGTTTCC